ATAATGTCATTTTATAAAATATAAGAATATTAACATTTTGCTAATATCACTATTAGTTTTCTTTGTAAAAGATAATTTTCTAAGTAAAAATATATTGCTTAAAATGTTTTATATCAGATGATTTGTATAATTGATAAAATTTTGATAAATAAAATAAAAATTTTATTATAAGGTTTAATAAAATAAAATAATTATAAATTTTATTAAAAACTATGAAAAATATTTTAATCAATATTAAAATTCTTTAAAATAATATAAATATATATAGATTATAATTATAAATATAAAAATATAATTTATATAATTTATAATAAATTATGTCAGGAATAAATATTTTTATTAAAAATTACTTAATTCTTATATTTATCTTATATCAAATAATTATTAAATATTTGTTAAAGAAAATAACTTATTCATTATATTTATATCTATATTTATATGATACATGTATATAATACATGTATATTATTATTTATATGTTTTTTTGTACATAATTCCATATCTTCTCTACATTTAATTGAATTTTTTGCTTATATTTTAAAGTAATATTCCACAAATAGAGTAAAAAGAATTATACAAATCTAAAACGTAATATGTAAAAATTAATATTGTATACTATTTTTATAATAAAAAAAATTTATAATATTCTAATTGATTCTAGAATTTTTCATTTTAATATTAATCTAAAAGTAGAAATGATTTATTAATCTCAGTTTCTGAAAAATACCAAATTTTGTAAAATATATACAAATATATGTATAATTTTACTTAAAAATAAAATGTTAAATGAAAATTAAACACATTAGAATGTTTAGAATTTCACTTTAAACAATAAAGGAGAATTCTTTGAACATATAAGTGTCAAACTCATAAAGCATTTTATATTTTTATCTTTTAAAAAGTTATTTTTATAAAAAGTTGCACAAATAATTTATACACAAATAATTAATACATTTTTATATTTTTATAAAATATTGTTTATTTTGTAAGAATTTGTTATGCAATATTAAATCTTTAGACATTTTTGAAGAAAAAACTATTCAAAAAAAAAAATTAAAACAATTTTGATATCATAAAATGTATTATAAAATTAATAATAATTTTTTTTCTTTCTTTGTTTCTTAAAATAAAAGATATATTTAAATAATTTTAAGTTTTATAAAATATTAATATTTAAAACAATATAATATACTGACATTTATTTAAATAAATAATATAAAAATTCATAATATAATATATTATTTTATATATTCATTAATATTGTAATTCAATTTATGTAAATTATATAATTGAAGAAAATAAAAAGAATAAATATTTATATAAGATTCATTATTTTTTTAAAATACGTATTGTTATTTATTTAATTGTAGTTTATAAAATGTGAGATTATTAATATTTATTTATATGTTATAATACATACCTTCGTATATATATATCACAAATTGTTTTACTTTTGATTCTGATTCTATTTTTATTATATTTTTACCAAAAAATTTTTACCAAAAAACACATGATAAAATTTGTATGAAAATTTGAATACTTCAAACAATTTAAAAGTACACGTAAGTATACTAAAATAAAAAGTAGAATCTAGATAAAGAAATCTCATACTAGATAAAAAAATTTGTGTGAAAATTCATATCAAACTATTTAGAAGTACATATATGTATAAAGATAGAGTGTAGACTATATGCACACAATTAATTACATTAATTATACTTAAACAACTAATTATAGAAAATGATACTACTATGTATAAAATATATTGATATTAGTATACCTCTCCTAATTAAAATAATCTAAGATCTTTGAATCTTAAAATAATCAAAATATACATTACTTACAATTTTATTTTATTCTTTTCAATTTTTAAATTTTCTACTTACAAATATGATTTAATTTAATGTTTTAAAATGAAATGAAATAGTTCTTATAATCAGATATATTTATGATTTTGAACAATTTATTCTTAATATTCTTTGAAATATTTCTTTTGTGATAATATAGAATTTGAAAAATAAATAAGTAAATTAATAAAAAAAAAATATATTGAATTTTCTGTAATTTTCTATAATATATTTTGAATAAAACATTTTTAATTTTGAATCTATATATTTGCACTTCTATTAATTTAAGACAAGAATGTAAAATTGACATTATAACAATATAAAGTATAGTTTATATATATTTAAATATATATATTATGATAATATATTATAGTATAATATATAATAAATATATTAATGATTTAAATTTTTAAAGAAACTATATGATGAATTTTTGAACAAAAACAATTTTTTATTTTATAATATTCTATAATAATATTTTATGTTTAAAAATCTGAGAAAATATGTATTTTTTAAAATTTATTAAGTTTATATCATAAAATTTATTTAATTAAAATTATGAAATGAATTGATTTACGGAATAAAACATATATAAAAATTTTATATATAATATGTCATAAATAATACTTATTTTAAATATTTGATCAGATTCAAAATGTATTCAAAATTGCAAAATAAAAATCCATAATTTTTTGATAATAAAAATAATTTTGCTTTAATAGGTAATTATCTTGTACATAAAAGGAAAATAAAATCATATTCATTTAATTAATATTTTCAAAAATAAAAAGAAAATTGTTTTTACATTTATTTTGTTTTGTTATATTATATAATTGAGTTAATGCAAGACATTAAAAGCATAATATTTTCAAAATCATTGTTTCAATTAAATCTTTCATAATAATTTTTAAGAATAAGAATAAAGAAATATATTTTAATCTGAAGTTTTATTGCTTATATTTATAAGCAAATTTTGAAAAAACTGTAGAACTTTTTCACAAATTTTATTTATAATATGAACTTTAAAACTTTTTTAAAAAATATTTTCATTATTAATTTTAATTTTTATAAAAAAAAATTTTTGAAAATAATTTTAAATATAAAGTTTTAAATATAAACATAAAAATAAAAATTTTTTATATTTACAATAATAAATAAATTTTCGATCAATATAACAAGTATGTAATAAATAATATTACAATGAAATTAAAAAATATATATCATATCTTTTTTTATAAACATATTAATAATTACAATTATAATAATTTAATAAATATAATAATGTTATCTTAAAAAATTATTTGTATAACGATTTTATAATTATAATATAATATATTGTAATAAAATTAATATCTATTAGTATTATATCATCATATTATATCATTATTATATCATATTATAATTTACTTTTGATATTTTAATAAATAATTTATTTCCACGAAACTTTTATTATATTATTGATTCTAAAATATTATAAAAACACTTTTTAAAAAGTTTTTATAGAATGATAACGTTATTTTCCATAAAAATTTTATAAAAACCAATATTCTCTTAAATGAAATATACAAGAAAATTCGAAAATTAAAAAATAAAATTTTTTTAAATTAAAATAACTATTTATTTCGATTTTTGTTTACAAGACAATCTCTTCTATATTTTATTTATTTTATACTAAAATGTAATTTTAATTCTAACCACTATGAATGTTATAATCTTATTCTTCTACTGAATCGATAACGTTGAGAGTGACATTAAAATGATAATGATTTTGAAGCTTTCTATCCAAAAATAATATTATAAAATAAAAAAATTGTTATACATAGATTTTATTTATGCATTATATTATGTTTAATGTTTATATAATAAATATTTGTTTTTATACAAAATATTATTAATCTTTGATGGAAATTATTTGACTATAGATAACAGAAATGTGATTACATTCCGTTTACATATCATCATACATTAGTTTATAGTTATCAAAGTTATTAGATGTTGATAAAAATGATAACATGAATAAAATTTTATTTCAATAATGTCGATAAATGATGATTTTTTATAATTATAAAGTAATTGGTAATCAACATAATTTTCATTTCCTTTTTTTTTATATATTATCTTTGAGAAATTAAAAATTATTTATTTATTATATTTATTATTTTTATTATATTATTTATTATATTTTATGGAAAAAATCGTCTTTAAAATCTAATATTTCAATTCATTTCATTTTTTTTATTGTAATATTGTAATATAATTTTTTTTATTGTAATTTATTATAATATTAATAATATTATTAATATTATTTATTATAATATTAATATGAAACAAAATAATTTATATTGTATTAAATCTTAGTTTTTTCTTTATTTTATGTGATAAAATAAGCAGAAATGAAAAATATTTAAGCTTAGCATATTAATATTTAAAATTAAATATTTTTTTCTTTTATAAAAATAATATCAATAAATCATTGAAATTCTATCGATTTACTGCAATGTTTTTCAAATAATATAAAAATATAAGAAAATATATTTATATAATAATATTAAATAATATATTTTTATTAATATAATTTTATATTAAAAATTATATTATTAATATAATTTTTGTAAATTCATGGATTTAAATACATTATATTCAAAATAATTTTTTATATTTATTAATAATGTATTATTAATATATATATAATAAAAGATAAAAAATATAATATTACGTAATATATAATTATAGGATTTATATAATTAATATATCATTTATATAATGATTTTAATATATAAAAAACTAAATATTTTTTTTATTTTACTACAATAATACATAAATATTAGTTAATAGAAAGAAAAAATATAGTAAAAAAGATTTAAGATAGTAAATTTCAATTTCTGTATGCGCGCTTGAAAGAGAAACGAGAAATCAAGAGGTCTCCCCAGCAACAGAATTTAATAAGTCCAGCAACAACCACTAGAGGTGATAGTATCGCTAACGCGGTTGAGATGTCGAACCAATGGTAGCACTTGGCAACGAACGGCGGGATCAGTCAGGTTAGCCCATTGGTCGGGCAATCGCCAAGGGAGCTACGGTGGGACAACGGATAAACAGATTTCAAAGTTTCGAAGTGCTTGCAATGTGGTGCGTAGTAAGCCGCTGAAACGTCAACGAGGTGAAACGTATTCAAACTATTTTGTTTCGTTTCCTGTGATAAATCATAGGAAAGAAATTTAATATGTTTTTTATTCGGAAACAGTTCGTAATTGTGTTTAAGAAGAGGTAGTTCCACCGGTATTTGTTGAAACAGATTCTCTCCTTAAAAAGCACGGAGATGGATGAAATAGAAAACGTAAATATTACCGAAACACCTCGCATCACGATAAATGCGAGCAGTCGCAATTCTCATGATAGTGTCGATAGTGGTTACTTGACTCTTCTTTCACCGCCACCATCACCGTCAGTGCCTTCATCTTCGTTTATAGCCTCCGAACCCATCGAGGAAGATGTGGAAATGAAACTAGTCATCGTGCCTCAGAGCACACCCCAGGTAACTACTTCACCTAGACGGAAGACACCACCACCACCTCCACGTATTGTTATTTCGCCGACCTGTAGAAAAGCTAGTCCCGCTATTAGTTCGGCAGACAATCAGAAATTAAGCAAGCTCTCTATCACGTATCTTGCTGCTATCAAGCCAAAGAGGTTGGATTTCAGTCATCGTGTCATATCTGCTGCTTTACATCATAGTAGAGCTACTCCAGATTATACAGGTAGAGAAACGGTGGATATATTGGCACTTCTTGGAGACAAAAGCAATCATTGGAGAATAGTTTCTAAAATATTGTCTTTCCTTGGACCTCAGGACCTTTGTTCCATTAGTATGGTGTCTAAAACATGGAGGAGAATCTGTTTCAGTGATTCTAGGGCCAATGTGAGAAGACTAACTCATATAATACTCAGACAGAATGCTAAAGAGAATTTAAAATTAATCAAAAAATCAAAAATAGAAGGAGACATTCAAAGCAGTCCTAGAAGTAGATACGCTAGGAAAGGATACTTATTAGAAGTGCAAAATCTTCTTCAAGTACAGGGAAATAAACGGCCACCTAGCAGTCCACCTGTTTCTCCAAGCAAAGTAAAATTCCACTCTTTTGTCAAGGTAAGTAAGTTTTTTATTTTTTCAAATATATTTGTAAGATAGTAGTTATAATGAGATTAAGATATCAAATATATATTATAAATATATATTATATAAAATAATTTATAAAAAATATTATATGAAAAAGTTTATGGAATAATATGAATAATAATATAGAAGATTATACAAAAAATAATTTCAAAATAGTAATGTTAGATATTATTCTAATATATAATAATATATATTAGAATAAACTTTTATCATATATGATTTTTATTTTATACAAAATAAATTATAGATAAAATTAGATAAATATATTAAAATTATTTAATGTTTTTTTCTGTAGAGTTAAATATTAAATTATTTAATTTTACTTTTTTATAAAATTATTTTTTATAAATATTAAATTAAATTTTTATAATTTTACAACTAAAAAGTAAATTCAATTCTATAAAATATATATAATAAAAAATTAAATTAAATAACTAGTTCATTAACCTATTTGTACGAACGTGAGAAAAGTGTAGTTACTATATAATGTATAATGCGCAAACGTTGCGTATTTAAACGATACACAAAGTTTCTGTCTGAGGATCGTATTCGATCCCTGTAAAGAGAGAATTATATGTTCTACACTAACAAGGGAGTTATATTCTTCTCTCTTATCATAAAACTTATTCTAACGGTTAGATATTTGAGCATTACAGCCAAATTTTAATAATAATTTATTATATTTTTATTATTAAAAATTGAAACTCAAAAAAAATATTTCAATTAAAATTTGCTATAATACAATTATTAATTTAGGAAAAATATGATTATCACTTTAATTTTCACACATATTCACTTTAATTTTAGAATTAAAATTTAAATTCATATTATTGAAACGTATGCAAACATTATTGTTCATTTTTAACGAGTTATAATTAAATTTCAAGAAATTTCATTCTTGTCATATTATAGCTATTGCTAATAGAATAATATATTATAAATTATGTTTTAAATATATTTTTTAAATTTTATAAAAATATTTTTATTTTGAGAAATTTTTTATCATTAAATTGTTAAATTTCTGTACATATGTATACGTTATAATATATATTCTTAAATTGAGACTTTTGAAATTAATTCAAAAAATATTATTTAAAATCAGCAAATATATCGAAAATACTATTAATTTTAATGTATAATATAATTTTTATCTATATAAAAATTTTTTAATTATTTGTTTGTTATTAATTTATACATTTTAATAAAATTAAAATAATGTTAATTTTAATCTTTAATTAAAATATCCACATATTTATCTGCGGAAATTATATTGTGGTCTGTGATATGTTATATGTGTTGTAGTTAATATGATTGTTTGCAAGCTAAAGGTATTGTAATAAGAAGTGGAAATAAGCATATTATAAACATATATACTAATATATTTTGTTCTTTTTTGAATAATAAACGATCTATATTACTTTTGCAACTTCGATTAACGAGAAAATTGTAATGTGACGAAGAGAGATATCGGATATGAAATATCGTCAGACGTATCTAAACCTGTAATTAGGTTGCTTATATTTTTTTTCTTTCGTCGTCATTATACCTATCTGAAGTTATGTTTTTATGAACAGAATTTTTTTTAAAGAATAATTATGTGGATAGTAATCGACTAGAATCGACTCAGTCTAAAATTTTTTTAATAATCCTACTGTGAGGCAGTATACATCTCAGCGGCGTAATTTGCACATGAGTGAACGAACGAATTCGAATTAAACAACATAATTGTTTCGTTGGTGAAATTATCTGTTTGACATTGATTTATTGTAATTTCTTCTTTGAAACGCCGCTTGCTCGTCAACCGCGACGGTAGATATGTTCAACCCTGAAAAATTACCCTCTCGCAATGGATGACCTTCTTGGAACGTATGTATAACAAATTTTGCATTCTTTAGAAATTTGCTTTCTTAATTTGATAGCATTGAGATGCAAAGTATACATATATTTCTTGTTATAAAATTTGTTATAAAATTTAATCAAAGTTATTATATATGATTTATTATAATTTATATAAAATATAAATTATATTTTGTTTCTATAGAATATATTATATTAATTTATATTAGTAGATTTTTTCATATATATAAATATATATATATATATAAAGAACCTACTAATATATTATTTATCCTAGAAATATTCATTTTAATAATATTTACGAAATATGATAAATTTATTGATATAATAAATTTTATAATCTTTTCCTAAAATCTTCAAATATTTATGAATATACTACTGGTTTCTTTTATTCCTTATTTTTCAAACGAATAGATCTACGGATAATATTTTTATATTGGCTGCATTGTGAACACTTTACTAGTGTTTCTACTGTTTCTTTACTCGTTTTTATTGCACATTTTACACGCTCAGTTATTATTGATAAAATGAAAGTGCACTTGTCTTTTATTGTTTACCTTAATATATACCTGAAAATTGTGTTATGATCTTTTGTATGCAAAGGATATATTTGGATCTATGTATATTATATTTTGCTTTGCATTTTTGATCCAATATTAAAATTCTAATACAAATATATTACAATTATTGTGTCTTATATTTATTATTTATTAATTAATGAAGCAAAACAATCGAAAAATAGAAAAAAAATAAAAAATAAAGAGAAAATAAACTTTATAGTATACAGTTAACAGTATAATATAAAATATATATTCAATTTATTTGATATTTGCTCTATTTTCTTTCATTATATAATGTAATCTAATTATATTTATATTTTGTTCCATTATATATAAATAATAATTTTTATTTATATATAAAAATATAAATAAATTATTCATAAATATCTTTTGTATAAATATATAAATTGAACAAAGATCAATTTTTATGTTTGTATGCAGAAATTTTGTAATTAATCTCTTATATATTATCATATATAAATGATTAATATGATTATAGCGATAATTTCAGTGATACGAATGATATCCTAGGTCATTTGTGAGCCCTGCTACAATATATTTTTAAAAGAAATTTTATTATTAAAATCATATTAACAAAAATTATACTATTATTAAAATAGAATGCTTGAAAAAAATTAATTATTTTTTATTAATTCAAATTTCCATTTTTTGGCTACACTAAAATATTTTATTAAAAATATTATATATATAATAAATATAATACATATAATAAAATATATATATATATAAATATATAATAAATATATATAATAAATTTTAATAAAATTTTTTTCTATTTCTATATTTCTTATAAAAAATCTTTTTTCTATATTTCTTATAAAAAATTTATATTTGCTTAATATTATAATTTTCATAATAAAAATCAAACAATAACAAGTTCTCAAAATAAATATAATTATTCTATAATTATTTGCATGCTGGAGAAATGGCAAATATTACAATTTTTTTACAAAAATTTTAATTTTGTAATGAAAAATATTTTATTTTTTTTATTTTTTTATGTGATCAGTATATTTTAGTAGTCGTCATTATTTTAAAAATGATCGTTTTTTCATAACAAATATACTCAACAAATATCAAAAATTAAAATTGACAAATCAATAAAGAATATATAAATAATTAAAAAAATTTTTATTCTTCAACAATATCTTTTTCTAACAATATATATATAAAATATTTTCGAATTATCGAATTCAGATTATGCAATCGGATCTTTCATTTATTATATTATTTCTCGTCAAAGTGCTAGGTGATTCCATTTTAGGGGAGAGAAAATACATGCAGACTCGTTTTCTTTCATTCATAGGAGCGAGCACGTTAATAATAACGTGTCTATACTTTGGAGTAGTACGTCAACTACCTGCCATTAGCACCTTCAGCTTTCGCTAGTGTGTATTTCTTCTCGCTTTAAATTACGATAGCGGTAGATTAGGAAGGGTAGACGCTTTGTTATCATTATGCGAGTAACAAAAGCTCTCGCGCATGATGGCATGCGGCACTTCAAGGTCTTTTGTGTTGCACGCGATAACAAAGTATTCATTAGCTTGTTTATCAAACGAATTATCATTTCATACCGCAAATTAATTTGTTGCAATCTTAAACAGTCATCTAACTTCACGTCAATTGGTAAATTTTTTCACAGTATTTTTTGTTGCCTAATACTGTGATAACTATCATATAAACATAAATATTAATATGATATATATATATATCTTTCTTATATTATGTTGCAATGTTAAAATATAAACATGAATAACATAATACAATGGAACATCGGTTATTTGAAGATTCAAATGACTGATTGTTTGAGTAGGATAAGTATATTAGGATATGTATGTATATTTAAATGTGTATATTTAATACTATTAATTATATTCTGGAATAAATGTTTTAAAAATGATTAAATTATTTTTTGTGTTATATATTTTTATACGTATTTATATACGTGTTTTTGAACATAATAAACATCTATTTGAAAATTATTATATTAATCTATTTATTTAATTTTTATTTTGTTTTATGATATTTATTCATAATAAATTTGATTCTTTCTGACTAATTATTATAAAAATTGATGAATTATTTATTTTTATAAATTATCCTCAAAACTGTATATTTGATCGGTATGAGAAATAAAAATCGTATAAAAGAAATATAAATATATGCATATGAAAAAATGTAAAAAAAAAAATGTAAAAAAATCTTGTAAGTAGTGATTTAACGAAAATCTAACGATATATTTTTAAAGAAATCATATCAAAATTTTTAATTCAAATTTTATTTATTTTTATTTATAATTTTATAATATAAATTTTTCCCTTCAAGATTAATTCTAATTTACAATTTATAATCAAAGATTATTAATTATTTTTCATAAAGAAAATGATATATTAATTCAAAAATATAAATGAAAAAAAATATTAATTAAATTTATTCGTTATTTCATGACAATATAACATAAGAAATTAAATCATTTATATTAATTGAAAAATTTTTTATCACATTAATGAAAAGATAATAAATAATATTCTA